AAGAGTCTACTGCCACCAGGGGAACCTGAGGAAGACACAGCACAAAAGGACATTTTTACATTTGCACACAATACAGCTGTGATACTTTAAATAAAATAATCTGTAAATATCCAAATGTAGAGGTCAATTCATAAATTAAAACATATATTCTCACCAGCAGAACAAGCAGAGCAACAACCGACCAGATGATAAAACTTTTCCACTGCCTCTTTAACACCAGCAGGTCAAAGGCGATGGGAATCCTTAGGGGAAAATAAATCAAAGCGTTTATGAAGAGTAGGAATTGAAATAATTTTGAGGCGTTCTGTTTTGTGTACAAAAAGGCCTTTTGATTTACCACCTTACCCAATCAGAGCAGAGAACGGCCATCCGACGATGGCACCAGCAGCGACTCCCATAATAGCCAACGGTGTCGAGTCCTGAAACCAACCTGTCATCGCAACCAGCGTCGTGTACATGCAGAAAGAGGAAGGCAGGAATGCTGAGGAGAAGAGAAGGGTCACAAAAAATGAGCCACAAATTAAGAACCTGATACAGATACATAATAAAGTTCTGAATTTTTTTTCTTAAATCTCAATCTCTACACGTACAGTATGGCAGCCATTCCATTCTAGTGTTGTCAGTCGTTTATAGAATACATTTGTTTTACTCAAACACATACTTATACATTTTAAAACCAGAGCATCTGATAATGCTGCAGTGGTCTCTTATTTTTTTCCAGAGCTGTATGTTACCACTGCAAGGCCTTGTTCATCTGGCCTTCATAGGAACAGGAGAACAAAATCACCATGCAGGCCAGAAATGTGTCTCAAATAAAATGCTTACTTAACAGTGTGCAAACGGCAGTTCTGCTCCATATTTTTGATTAGTGTGCTGACTTGGCAATTAAGGAAGAGAAAAATACTGCTCTGTAATAAATATAATAGTTGTATTTTAACACCAAATATACATCAATAGAGATTTTTTAAAAAGGAAACAGGATAAATGACTATTCGACCACGGAAATGAAATGTTACTGAACAACGCTTATTCTTTGTTTGATTGAATTTGCTGTTTGTTTAAAGGCAGTTGATTCTTCCATGCCTTGGCCAGGACTACTGTGCAAAACTGATTCACAGCTCAATGAGAATATTTGTGGGAAAATACAGATAAAAATGGATAAACAAAGTAAATACATGTGACCAACCTGCAGACGAGCAGAACATCCCTGTGCTCAGGACCAGGAATGCTAACATGAGACGGCCCACATGCAGACCAAACTTCTTACAAACCGCCCTGTGTCACACACACAAACACACAAAACTGTTCACCTCCATGTCATCTATTTAAAGATGAATATATAGATATCTATGTAACCATTGTAATATTTGAAAGGAGGAGTGTAGACTCACTTGTAGAAGTAGAGTTCACAGACACAGCAGGAGAATGCTAAGACACATCGTACAAAGTAGAAGACCAACACCTGCAACACAATCATAACACAAGCATTACAGTTCTGCAAATATTCTATCACGTGTGTGTGTGTGTGTGTGTGTGTGTGTGTGTGTGTGTGTGTGTGTGCGCATACATCAATGTGTGCGTGAGTGAGTAAATGAAATAAATACTTTTGGACGCCTTTGGACGCCACATGTAGGGACATGAACTAAATCAGATATTTCTGAAAGATACATATTTTTAAGAAGGACTAGAGTTCGTAATTAATTTTCCCATATAGTATATGTTACTAAATAAAGTGTAAAATAAACACAGTCCTCTCATAACACAAAAGACCATTTGAAATACAAAAGAGAGCTGATTATACTGAAGATCAGGTGAGGTCATTTATAGTATCAACAATAACAACAAAGGTTGAATTGACAACAAGTTTATATTAGTTACCTTGTTTGTTTGTAGAACATGGGCGTGCAAACATGCAGGAAGAGCATGTAACCATAGGTAAGCGTACGACCTGATGGCGTAGAGCGGAGAATATTCCCATGTTTGCATCCCTGTACCGTACAGCAGGTAGTGCATCTGTTAAAACAGGCATCGCAACAATTACAGATGAACATTTAAAGAAAGAGAAGCAGTATCTTGCTGGAGCGATAAATATATACTGACATGAATATAAGAAGGTTCCTGGAAGAGTCAGAAATGAAAACATACTGTATTTTAGTATTTCTAATAGTAAGCAGCACTCACAGGCTCCCAGTAGTTGAAGGTCTCATCACAGTCTGAGATGTTGCTGAGCAAGGCTGCACAGAATCGTGCGGAGAGCAGGCATTTAAATGCAGTCGAACCTTCTGGAGCCCATACCTGCCCTGCACGACTTACTGACCTATATACACACAACAACAACAAAACAAGATGCACAATTGCTTAATATCCATACATATGTTTTTAGATCCTTTTCAGCATCAAAATGAATTAAACAAATCAGTGTACTTTAAAAGTACATCATGTATGCTTTCTGAATATTTAATAAAAAATGAAATTGTTTTTAAACAGTCTGATGAGACATGATCTGATGCATTCATATAAATCTGTATACTGGCCTTAAATGCTTTTCTATGTCTTTTGATTGCCTACTTTTCTTCAGACTTTCCTCAGTTTTATATCCTATTTAACTGAATACATTTCATACAGAGGTTTTTGACAGACAAAACAAGACATTGGAAGACATCACCTTTTACATTTTATGGACATACACATAGAAAACAATCTGCAGATTAAAACATAATGAAAATATTCCTTATATTTACGCCCAACTTTATTTACTTTCATAACCTATTTTAATTTCCTCCCAGATGTGGACAGCTGTGTGCTTGTCAGAGAAATCATAATAATAGGTAAAGACAGTGGATGCATTTCATTAGTGTTCATAGCATCAGTGTTGACCCTCAGCCCTCCTCATGTCCTGTTCACACCCAGCATCAGATTAGTGGGCTCAGGTGCAGTTTAGCATTGATCCTCACGTTACTGTTTGTTATGACACGTCATCTTACAAACTACATACATGCTTTAAGAGGACTACAACAAAAACAATAAATGATTTCAAATGAACAGGTATGGACGTGCTGAGCACCAGTTGACCCTCTTCGGACAGTGTATCTGTGTCCAGGTATCAAAGGTGGCAGAGTGACAGCAGGGGGAATGAATGAAGCTGACCCGAACCAAAATGCTTTACGTTGCTCTATCAAAACACTAAAACACTACTTATAGAGGTGGAAATACAATTTGACAATCATCGTATTTATAAGTGCTCTAACGAAATAGTCATGTAGGTTGTTGGGTGGATGTTATAAGTGGTTGATATCGTGTTGTTATTCAAACTTGCTTATGAAAGTAGCTAGCTAGCTAACGTTAGCTCCCCCTGCTCAGGCTGTCAGTCAGACCGGGGATGGAGCTCCCAGCACCGGCCAGTCTAACCTCTCTCCTCCCGGCTCATACTCACTCTTGCCGAGCTTCTGCAGTTTTACTGTCATCGCCACTTTTCTCCTCTTTCGGTGTCCGAGCTTCTGCGGGGACGTTCACGTTGTTTGCATCTTGTCTGCTGCCTCGCCTGGTGCGCTGCCGGAGCGCCTTGGCCGCCATGTTTCCGATGATGCTTCCGAGCAGCGCTTCGTTCATTTTCGGCGCTGATCGGTTAATGACACATATCTTCATTGTAGTTGGATAAGGTCCCCAAAGAATGTAATTGATTGATCTTTCTAAATGTTTCAAACTGAATTGAGGATTGTCCAGCCGATCTGTATTGTTAGTAGCAAAAAGCATTGCCATTAAAAATGCACAAAAAAAGTCCATTCAGTTAAAGCACTCAGCTCTTTACACATTGTCCTTATGTTTAGCACATGTAATAATCAGATTTAACATCAGCATCGAAGACAAAACATCTCCCTCCCCTGGGTGTTGAACCTCTAGCACCTGCATGAATAAACAATGCATAATATAGACCTCTGGACCACCAAATTGTTTTTAAAACATTGAACACCCAACTACAGTATAGGTCTTGCTGTGATGTGATTTGGTGTGAATTTGTACATTTAAGCACACAACGAGCACACAGCAGGTATGGAGGACAGAACATGACATGAGTAAAATAAAATAAAATAGGCCTACAGGAATAAATACGGGAATAAGTAAAGAAATACAAAAGCATTTTACTCTGGGCTCAGCAGGAGAAAAACTAAAGAGGGGCTTCCACATGTGGCAGACCAGGTGTTGGTGCTGCCGGATTTGGAACCCCCACTGTAACTTTGTCCAAGATAGTCGTACTCCCACCAAAATCACACTGGTGTTTGCTGTCCCCCTCTAGTTTGTGCACACAAAAGTGCTAGTGGAGCACGCTCATGGACTGTTAGCGCCGGAGCCTCGCATCCCCACTGCGGAGTGCATAATTGCGCCGCATTTGCGCATAAGATGAGCCCCCCTCCGCAAGATGAGGCCCCACGCAGTCTGTGTGATCTGCGTGTAGGGAGGGGCGGGCCTGCCCACCAGTGTTGGTTGTTTCCATCTTATTTGAGAAGGTTTTCCATTTCCATGATGGGAAAGATATCGGTCAATAGAGAGAAATTAAATCATTTATTTAGTTCTTCCGCTTAGAAGACTAGACGAAATGTCCAATAATTTACTACCAGTGTTCTTATTACATTTCATGTATAAGTACTTTGAATGAACTAACACAAGTAACAATAAGTCATTTGGTCCTATTTGACTTTACAATCCCGGGTAGTTACTTGGAAAGTACTACTAATGTAGTAAAATACAGTGTCAGCTGGCCATCATCTTGTGCATACATGTTAAATAAAATAAAAAGTAAATGTAAGGCTTTATAATATACCATAGTGAAAGGGGAGATTTTTTCAGTGAGGATATTTACTTTTGAAACCCTTTGTACATGTTGCTGGTAATACTGCTAATGTAAAATTCAGTATCATTTTAAATACAGAACTTTAATTTGTAATAGAGTTAGGCTGGGTTATTTCAACCACTATACCATTTATTCTCAACAATAGACCAAACATGTTTGAAATAACATTTATTGTATAATTAAAGCACAAAGACACACACACTTCCAATCACATTGCATATTGACTATAGCATGAAATGCCTCAACTACTGTAAACACTTAACTACAGTTTTGCGGATAATTTTCTTCGCAGTTCAAAGCAGACATGTAATGATAACATCTGTAAAAAAGGGAGGTTAATACACCATCTCTCTAGATATCAAATGTTGCTACCTGATCGTGACTTGCAACCGAGAGGTAAGAAAGGTTTCCAGATCTTTATGAAAGTGGAGGGCTTGTGTGTGTGACAGAGCATGTGTGTGTGAGTGGTAGATGAGTCTGTAGCAGTAACTGGTCTGACTCAGGTCAGAATGTGAGAACGTGTCGATGAGCTTAACTTGCTCCACGGTCCCATGACTGGCCTCTCGTATCACAGCGTGGAACTTCCTCTCATCCCACGTCGGCCCTGTCCAGAAGCTGATGTCAAAGCTGAACGGTTCGGGGTACAGGGAGAATGGTTGAAAAGGTTTCCCTGGCGAAGGACAGAGTTCAAAGTGTTGTATAAAGCGGGGGTCATGTGACCACAGAAGCCGCCAGTCAGGGAGTGAAAATAGGAGCACGGCAAGGAGGTCCAAATTTAGGGAAACAGTGACGCACACATCACTTATGTTGTCACCTTCATCGCTTGCAAATACCCTGCCAACCAAACCCATAGGCTGTGCCATTAGACGCAGGGCTCCCTGTTCTGTGACTAGGGAAACCCCGTAGGGTGCGAGCAGCTCTTCCAGCCTCTGTCCAAGCAATTTAATTGGCTCACATTCTGAAGGGAAAATCCCTCTGAGGAGAAGCTCGTGAAAGGCTGGCGGGGCCCAAAGGTTGACAGGCACGTTCTTGAAAACCAGGCCGCTAAGGCCAAATAACAAGCTGGTGACACCATTACTGCCCCCAAATGGCCCCTCCTTCTTATGTCCTTCAACACTTGTATTATTCCCCTCATTCTCCCCATGCCTCCCTGCATTGTTAATCAACTTTTTAGTGAGAAGCTCTTCCATGTGAGGAAGCAGTGATGGACGCAGCACATAAAGACAGCTCTCGCTTTCAGGATCAACCAGAGAGCATGCAGACATTAAGCTCTCAGCTTCTTTGATCCTCACTTTACCTGAGGTAGCACACGTGGCCGACAGAGTGTCCGTGTGTCCTTGACTATCCAAAACCGGATCTTTCTCTATGTTTTTAGAGGTATGAGCATCAAAGTTCTGGTGTTTCTGAAGCAGATGGATCCAGCAGCAGTCTGTGCTTTTGAAGTCTGGGCAAGATGCCTGCAGCTGTTCTGCTGTGAGGAGGAAGGGAACGGTTTCTGTCGTCATAGAGATGGACCACTTATCTGCCAGTCCTTTGAGAAGAAAATCTTGCACCATCCTGACAGGGTGGACAGAACCTGAGCAAAGCAATCCCCTGATGAACGAGAAGAGACAGTAGTAAGCATGTGGTTATATCATTTTTCTTTTGGTTGCCATGGTAGCTCCTTACTGATGGAGCATGAGAGTCTCTGCGTCAATGTACCTGAATATGTAATCGCTGAGCTCGGCTGTTATGTTGTACTCCACTCTGTGTCTTTCAACTGCCTCTTCAACCTGAAGTGTCTGAGCAGGGCTGAAAGGGAGGCTTCGAGTGAACACGTGGAGCAAACCTTTCTCCACATGAAAGCCCTTATCCTGGCTCCTGTACAACAAAACACCAGCATTAGAGAGACGGTATGTATATACACACAGGGACACAAAGGGCCATTTCTATTTATACACCGCAACACTCACCTTTACTCCTTACCTGTATCCGGTGCACTTGTAGCTCTGGTATTTGTCACTTTCAAAAGAGTGGACATGACTGAGGATTAGGTGTGCCTCTGCTGCCATGGCAACCACCTGCCAGCTGTTGTGCCACTCTCTCTTCGGGTGGTCGGCTGGTGTGCCGCCCTGTCCGTTGCATAAGGAAACATGAACCTCCCCATCTTCAGACAACAGCTGAACACAACTGGAGGCAGAGGAAAACAAGTATTCAGTATGTCATCATGGAAAACAGCCATTGTAAACTTCTTTAATTCATAAAATAGTGCAGTCATACCTGAGGAAGAAGTTTTTGAGAAGCTCTCTGTTCTTTTTTACCCCACTCTTTCTACCGCAGTGAGGGAAGTTGAACACCACACGATCAAATTCACGGCCTTGAAGAGAGGCACATTCTGCAAGCTTCGTGCAGTCCACCCCGAAAATCACCTCTCCACCTAATCAACAAAATGTGTATATACAAATCAACAAAATCAGTGGTGGGTCAAGTAATCAGATCTTTTACTCAAGTAAAAGTAGTAATACCGAGTAGAAATACGCTACAATAGTCCTGTTGTAAAAATGTTTGGTAAAAAATATACTTTCAAAATGTTTAACTAAGTACGCCATGTATTATATGTTTAATCATATTTCATTTTTGTTATTTTTTATTCATACTATAACTACATGTTTATTCTTATTTTAGCTTATATTATTTTATTTGTTTTCTTATTATCCCATGTTTACTATCTGTGTTTCTGTCTAATTCTGTTGCTGCTATGACAACCGAATTTCCCTACGGGGATCAATAAAGGTCCCTCTTAAAATAATTGTTACTATTGATGCATTAGTCAGAGGATTTCCCTTATAGATCATCAACAAATTATAGATTGAATGACAAAACCAATGTTTGAAGTTAAATAGAAGATCATTTCAATATGTTTCAATAGCTTCCATGTCATGTGACATAACCTGTGTAAGAGCGAGGACTCGGATGTGAGCTAACCGTCCTCTGACTGCACACAGTAAAGTGTAGTTAAAAGTAGCAGTACATGTAAAACACTCAAGTACAGTACAAGTACTTAAGTGTGTGAGGTATGTGTGTAGTAACTGTCCACCACTACAAACAACTATGTACAAACAGTACTCATGTACCTGAGTCCTGGACGGTCTGGATGTTGGTGGCAGCGCCTTCATGCCGCAGTGCCTCGTCCTGATGCTGCAGGCAAGTGGCCGTGATGTTGGTCTCAGAGTACTGGCTCACAGAGGCAGAAAACGAGAAGTTCCCTTCTCCAACCAGCAATATGTTCCGCGAAGGACACATGGCTAGTAAAAACTGAATAGGTAGGACACCCAAAAAGTAACTTACTAAAACTATTCCCTGAAGGATATGGCCGAAGGCGAAAGGAAAGAGAGAGCCGAGCAACAGATGACCAGCTGTAGTCTCTTCTTCACCGACTATTATAATCGTTAAAACTACATATTTTAGTAAGTGACGTCCCTATCACGCGTCTTAGGTAGTATCGGCTAAATAACTTGAATTAAATTGATTGTAAGGTAATTAAAAACAGTTGACCTTCTCCTACTCCACGGCGATGCAGCACATGAAATATCTCACCTGGAGCAGCTCGCGTTGAAAGCGGTGTCCCAGATACAGTGGTCCGACCAGAAACAACATTTAGGGAACGTTTGCCTAAAACCTCCAAACTTCATAACAACAAAACGTACGTATTTAAATATGAATAGATGGGTATAGTTGTTGTTTATACAATTGTAATAGAGTTTCCAGTATTTACATGTAAATGTGAACGCGTAATTTATTTTCAGAGCAAAAGTCGTGTTTTCAGAGGGACTGATTTGCAGGTTGGCGCATCACATCTGGAGGAGGGAGCTACTTGCTGCATCAGATGATCCCACTATGAATGATATTTTATAATATATAATTCAAACCACCTGACGGGTTCCGATGTGCACTTCTCAAATCGGTGTTGGATTTTAACGTCTCTCGATATAAACGGAAGTAGGTCACATTACACACTAGTGCACAGATTTGAGTGTTGTTGCTGATGCTAAGGTCATGCTAGCTAACGGGATTGCTGCACCTGCTCATAATAATAACATCCTTGCATGATGCACATAGTAATGATCATTTTCACAACTAATGCTTTGCATTCAAGTCAGTCCAATTTAAAGATATAGCACAATACATGAAATGATTATTATTAAATATATATGTTTTTTCTTAATTTTGATGTATGTGTCATTAACTTGTACTGGTCTCTCTTAGTGGAGGTGTTACAATGGGATACCTTTATGTTTCTATGCTCTATTTTGTCCAGAAAAGCTTATTTTCGTCCTTCAATTGTATTTCAATTGTGTATGGTTAATACTTTGCCTCTGTTCTCTTCATATATTCACTGGCTGAAGATAAATGTGACATTGCATCATCATCAATCTTTTTAAAATACTGACACTTATATTACTGCATGTTCTTTGTCTTAAGTTTGTTTCATTGAAATAAAATGTATGGAAGAAATCAGACAATAAATGAAAAGCAGTATATATAGATATCTCTTATTTGTCTCTTTGCATCATGTAGGAAGTGTTGCACCCACATGGGCAGTGTGCTGGCTTTGTCTTCTGGTCCGGGCCATCAGAACTGGCCTTTCTCCACGGACCGCCCTCCTTCTCGCTGGGACGCACATCCTGCTCACTGGGACAGTCCTCCACGCTGGGAGAGGAGAGATGGACGCCTACCCAACCCGGGCAGCTTTCATTCTCTCCATAGAAGCTGCAAAGGTATGTCAAACTAAAATGAACCATCTGTAGAGTGCACACCATAGATAAAAGACTAAACCAACCACGCGGTACAAAAACTGAGAAAAGCAGCAAAATAGCAATGTATTTAATCTGACTGTTTTTCTCCCTAGATGTATTCCCTCAACAGATTGAGGGAGTCAAGATGATCGTCAATAAAACTCTGAGCAGCTTCTTCAAGGTGACACATTCAGTTAAACTCATAAAATTACTAAAGATAAGCGTGTAATTCTTACATCTGAAAATGTTATTATGCCGTATTATGAATTTACTGTATGTGTTTGCTTCCAGATTAGTCATGCTCTTCACCTCAGTGCTGTTAGTCCTTCCTACTATCGATTCCACGTGGAGCATCTTCAGTCTGATGATTACAGCAAGGACAAGGTCAAACATGAGTCATCACATATACAATATTTATCCATTACTCAATGCTTAATTTGCTTGGTAGTGTATAAAAACAGAAGAAGCTGCTGTTTAGTTTTGTTGACTGGTTGCATTTTGATCCTTCCTCACATTTTTAGGATGCCCCAGCCTTGATCGGGGAGATGGACTCTTCTGGCAGTCTGAACGCTCACGCTCTGCTGAACCTCACGGAGCGAGTACGAGCCAGAACAGTGTTCCAGGTGGGATCCTAATGTCTCTCCATCCATTATGTTTACGCTGTCAGTGCACTCGTCACTTTGAACAACATTTTTATTTGAATTGTTGATTGTGTTAAAGACCCAGCAGTCCCAGTTTGTGACGTGGCAGTTTGAAACTGAGTACAGAGGGAACGACTTCACTGCTGCTGTGACAGTAGCCAATCCGGACGTCCTCAGAGAGTCAGGTGAGAAAAGACAGGTGGAAAGATAGGAATATCTTTTGATATGAGTTTACAGAAAACAGTCAATTCAGTCAATTGTTCCGGTTTTTTCTCAATTAAGCATCAAAATAATAGAGCTGCAATTATTAGTCGACTAATTGATAAGCTGAACTACGAAAATAAATAGGCCAACTATTTTGATAAGAAATTGATTGTTAAAGTCTTTCAAATATAGACATTTCCTGTTTTAAGTATAATCTGACATTTGATTGACGAAACAATGAATCAAATGAATCTAGAAAATAATGCGCTGATCAATCGATAATCTAAACAATTGTTGGTTGCAGCCCTAGTAAATACATTACCTGGTTAATCTTTGTTTATCTAACTATTATATATCTGTGTGTTTCTCTTGGACAGTTATCCTTGTGGCACACTTCCTGCAGAGTGTGACTTCTGAGCTGGTTTTAGGAGGGGAGCTGGTCTACCATCGGGGTCGAGCAGAGGAAGGAGGAATTCTTACTTTAGCTGGACAGTACTCAAGTAAGATTTTGCGTTTCATTGTGAATCTGCCTCATACAAATCATTTAATACAGCCATTACCATTTGTATATTTTTTCCTTGATTTGGCAGCAGTGTTTCACCTTTTTTCTCAAATCTTGATGTAGGACCAAACTGGGTAGCAACGCTAAATGCTGGGAAAGGAGGTGCCCATGCTAGTTACTATCACAGAGCCAACAAACAGGTACAGCAGATGCAAACTCTAATGTATAAACGCTCCATTTTCCCTTGGTGCATGGTGCAAATGTCCATGTGTTCGTGTTCACCAGATCCAAGTCGGGGTGGAGTTTGAAGCCAGTACCAGGACGCAGGAGACCACGACCTCATTTGGATACCAGATGGAGCTCCCAGAGGCCAACATGGTGTTTCGAGGTAAATTCCTTTCTCCAACTTTGTCTCAAATCTCATGCTGAGTGAAAACTATTAACAAGCATACATTATAAAATGAGACCATTTTCATGTGTGTGTCTAGGTATGATAAACAGTCGGTGCATAATTGGAGGCATATTGGAGAAGCGCCTGACCCCGCTACCTGCCACCCTGATTATGGGTGCCTTTGTAAATCACAGAGGAGACAAGTTACAAGTGGGCCTGGGCATCAACGTGGGATAATCCTCTCCTTGCGCCTGCTGGAGTTACAGCTCGCTGTCAGGGTATCCATCCAGAGACCTGCTTCAGAGGCTTGTTAAAACACTTGAACTACCCTGAGTATGGTGGATTGTCTAGGTGTTTAAACTTGCAAGCTACCTCTAAAAATGGAGGTGATGTTTCTGAAAAAGGTAATTTGAGGGCGTCAACAACTGTGACTTGGATGTGTAACCCTCCCAATGAAACCAAACTGCACATCACCTTCTGGACATGAAAGCAGAAAGGATGAGAGGCGTACTGTACTGCAAACGGAAAATTACTAAAGTTTTATATTGTAAGTAGTCTTCAAGAAACGTAATGTACGTATATAGATTATATTGAAAGATAAATGTGATTTGACGTTTTAGCCCACTCACCATCATTTTTGTATACCTTACATTTTAGCTGACCATTTTCTAAAGAATCCAGTCCTACAGGAATCATATCTAGGGTACTTAATATCATTTCACAATCTCCATGTCTTAATTTTTTTTTCTGTTGTTTAACCCTTATTCATCTTAAACCAAAGTGGTCAGCTGAAATGTAAAATGGATACAATTGTGCTAAAACGCCAGTGTGTTCCTTAAAACTGTGTGTATGGGTACAATATTGTGTGTTTGATTGTGTTTTTGCAGCATATAAAACTGTGAGGTACCACACACAAACAAACATCCTGTTGACTGTAGGATAAGAGTTTCTGCTCCATAAACTAACCTCTAGTGGAGGGATGTGAGAGCGGCGCTGCACTGACTCTGTGGAGCCAGGACTGTACTGTATGTATATTATTGATGAAGGCATGTGGAAACACTGGCCTGTGTACAAACTGCACTACTCACACTGCTTTGGGGATATTTACAGTCCTTTTTAAGCTATCAGAAATGATATTATTTATACATTATGTAATATAAGCATAGAGAGATGTGGAAGGGAGAGACTGTCATTTTGACTTAATTTATTAAAAACGTTATTTCTATCAGAATATCTGTGTTTCTTCATTGCCCTAATATGTAATCGTTTCAGTTCTGTATAGCAACATTGTGGTTTAAAGCTCCACAAATGAATGTTTCTTTATGTTAACTATGGATGTAATGTCTACATGTAATAGGAAAGCAGTCATTCATAGTGACAAACCAACGTAAAATGAATACCTGACCAAAATTACCATCAGCATCAACTCACGTGCCTTTTAGCCTCATTTAGCTCAACGGTTTGATTCTATGTACAGAGTTTAGCATCTAGCAAGATAATGGGCCAGATAATGTTGTCAGGATTTTTTAACACAAAAACAAAGCTAAATATAGAGTTAATATTGGAAATTTTTTGGGTGTCAAGAAGCACCAGACACTCAAAATGAATCTCAATATTGGTCTATGTCTGCAAGATGTTCACCAAAACTGGCTTTTGCAACCTTTACTGGCTGGTCCGATTGCTTTGCCGCAAGGTGTTTTTCAGACAGACATCTAAGCAAATGTTGTAATTTGATCAGTGGACAGTTTGTGTTTCTGCAACCAAGCAGACTGTACAGACATTAGCTTTAAGCTAGCTAGCAATGGATTCACCAACTGTGTGTTTGTATTCACTCTGACTGAGCTCTCCAGAAACTTAGTTTTCTGTATTTATTTCTCCAGTCTCTCTGCTGTTTCCTCTTCCCTCTTCCCTCTTCATGTTTATGAAGCATACAAATCCCATGTAGTTACAACATTGTTTATGTCTAATCAGGTCTTTCCATTGAGTGTGTTTTCAATGGAAAGACATGATCTGTATAATAGCCTATTCTGTATGTTCTGTCTGAACACAAAGTCAGAGACCAAGGTTTAAAGAAGGCATATGGTGACAAAAACAACTTTACAGAGACTTGTTGTTGGCTTTAAAATTTAATATAAAATCCTAAACTCTGAAATGACTTACAGTACTGTACACATTCATATATACAAATAGATATTCAAATAAGAGGTCTGTAAACATATCCCTGGTTGGTGGTGATAACATATCCAGCTTCAGTGGGGAAGATAAAGGCTGAGACTTGTCCGTCTAAATTGATGGCAGCTATCTTTGTTATTTTTCTTTAAAAAAGGAGAAGAATCCTTTCCCTCCTTCTCCCTTCAATCTCAAAGATTTGCTTCTTTGTAATCCCACTGCGTTGTCTTTCTCTCGCACTCTTTCCCTCTGTCTCTCTTCCTCCCTTTGCTGCACCTGTTGATTGATCACCAGCCGCATGTCCTCCTGCAACAGGATAAGAGGTTTAGATTGAAAAACTAAATTCTGCTTTTAAACTAAACTATTGTAACTTGTTGCAAAAACACATCATTTAGATGTATGTGTATCCCTGCACACAGACTCACCTGCCAGGCCTCCAGCTCTTGAGACAGCGCCACCTTGTGTTTAATGGTGTTGAGAAGCTGCTGCGTTAGCGATTCCTTTTCCTGACACACCATGGCCAATTCACTTTCCAGGCAACTGCACATTGATAATAATAAAAAGCATAACATAACCACCGCGTGCTTTCTTGGAATAAGAGGGAATCAAATCGACAAATGCGTCGTTGTGAAGCATTACCTGTAGCTTGGCTTTTCAGAGCTGCTTCTGAATGGCTCCATTTCCTGCCTCAAAGACTCCAACTCATCTCTTTGAGATTGCAGCTGCAAATTGTGACATTGAAATTGCATACATATGTTATTCATCATCATTTAAATACTCAGATTTCCAGAATTTCTATACATTTTAAAGATCCCATTAAGGAACGTTGTAGGCCTCTGCAATGAAATATAATTATTGTCTGATATAGTTTTTCCACAAAAATATCAATAAACAAGTTAACAATTCTTAAATTTAAACCTAATCTTTCATAAAAGTAAAGTATGAACACAAGATGTCTCCTACTTCAATAACAAGTCCCTTTTTAGTGTATGTGATAAAGAAGTATCAGTTGCTGAATCACACTTACGTATCATTTGCATATATTATATATATTTGGCCACAACTGATCACAGAAATAGTCTTACATTTTACATCTTTTATTTTTGAGTGGACTGTAGCATGATGGATGTGCATTCATTCTAACTTAAATATCAGTCACACTTGTCTGACTGTTATGTTGCTCGATTAGCTGTACGTTCTAGACAAATATATTGCTATACATAGTAGCACGTATGTATGTACACCCATTTCTAAACCAACCCATTAAGAGGTCTGTGTTGTATCTTCTCAGGTCAATCACCAAGTGAAATTGGGTTATGAAAGGTGTATGTGTGGTTGATCAACAGACCTCCTCTTTGAGCACTTGTATCTCTCCATCTCTTGCTTGCAGGACTGTGGAGTGAGCGAGAAGAGCCTCTTTGGCCTGGAAGGAGAGATAACAACAACAGATAGAAAGCTCAGTAAGATCAGAACACTTATTATTGGTGTCAAGGCATTAGATGCAAATTTGGGTTTAAAGAGCTTCTGTTTTTGAAAAGCCAGTAGGGATCAGTCTCTAACTATCATAAGAAGGACATAAGAAGGTTTTTTTTTTGTGTGTGTGTGTACCTGTGATTGCTGAATTTCACTATGCAGAGATAAAGGTTCTGTTTGTCTACTGTCCAGAAAGCTGTCTTCTCCCAGATTCAGACTGTTTTGCTGCAGGGAGCGATTCACGCTTCGTAACTCAAACACCACTCCCTGCTCCTGCTCTATCTACATACACACACAGACACACAGATAGAGTAAGAGACTGGTGCACGCATACACGTAGAGGTCAAGAACTTCAAACTAGGTGTCCCTTATGAATTCTGACAAGTAAATATCTCCTTGCAGCACATGATTTCACCTCCGGCTCCTTCAGCCTTCATCTTTCAACGCAAAATGTCCTCTTAAATAACAGTCAGTCGTCCATGCTCACCTCTGCCTCTTTCTCTTTCAGGTTTGTTTGTGTTTCTGACAGTCTGTCTCTCAGTCTCTCTCTCTCCATGCGGAGTCTATCGCTGTCCTCCTGTGAAGCTCTTAATTGAGCATCCATGTGCGAAAGCCGCTCCAGCAAAACTTTGTTCTGTATGGGAAGAAGAAAAAGATGAACAAAATAACAAATTACTGAATTAATGGTGCAATGACAGAGGTAAAAGAAAGTGGTTATTATTAACACTAGTGACATTTTGACGCTATTAAATATGTAACATTAAAGTCCTCAAGGATGTTCTATTTGAGTCTAAGAGAGAGAGAGATCTTAAGATCTGATTTCGGCTTGACTTATGAAAGACTGGTCTCCTGAAGAATGACCTATGATTAGAATTCAAAACAGAAATTTTCGACATGATAAAATACCAAAACAATAACATTTGAGACAGCTACATGTTTGGCCTTCAAATGCCAATACTTAAAAACAGCTCTCATTACTTTCATGTTGTATTATCATTTCAGACTATTTGGACATGTTTGAAATGTAATACTTTTTTGTACGACCTACTATCGATTGAAGACAGCACAATGTGTTTATGACTGTCACACTAAAACCACCTCAGTTACTTCATCATTGATTTTCTTGTGCAATGTACATTCAGAAGTGACTGGTAGGTTTACCTCTGCTTGAATGTTCTCTATTTGTGTGAAGTTGATATTTCGGCTGAACGATGATTCATCCATCTCTTCTCTGATGGAACGAAGCTCAGTCCTTAAGGAGTGCTCCAGTGTAACCGCCTAAGTGGGTGGTAGATTAAAAAAAAGTTGAGAAATGTTTTTGTTGCAATAAGAGACAAAGATGGGCCTCCATGAACCTGCTGGTCTGCATTTTTTCTGTCTGCGTGACTGTGACGACATATGCAGACAATTCCCACACATACACACTCATACATTCTTTTAAATGTCACAGCTTATTTTGTGGGTTAGCAGCTCATTAAGGCAGGGTAAGGCTGCCTGTTTACTGATATAAACCCACCTCTGCTAGCTGCTCCACCAGGCGTTGGTTATGATTGGCTAACTGAGTCAGCTGCTCACTCTCGTCCCTTCGCCGGTCGCGCCCCTGGCTGTGATGTTGCTCCAGATTTGCCCTCAAAGCAGCTAAATCTGAAGTCAGCTCTGCCTCTCTCTGTCCAGACACCAGCTCATTCATCTCCAGCTTCCTGTGCAGAACATGCTTCTCCTGCTGTAAAGCCTGAGACAATAGAGGCAACATTAACTGGGATCAAGCAAGATAAATAATAATAATATACCTTGGTCATTTCATGTGATCTCTGCAATTGTGTGAGTTTCCAGGCAGTATAAGTGTGTAGAGACAACATGATTAGATGCTGGTTCTTGAAAAACAGAACTGATGTAACTAAACACATGTACTGTTTCATTTAAACCTGATCTTTTCTTGCTATGAAGTTTCAAAATATATTGGGTGGAAAAAGCCTGTTATTTTTGCTTTATATCAGAGACAGATTTGTGCCTGTAGTGTAAATCTGTCCCTGAAACTGACAGCTAGATTTATACCTCTATATTTATGTAGTGTATACCTGCAGGATGTATCTTTAGTAACAGCCAAGAAACTTACAGAATACAAGCAGTGTGCAAAACAACAAAGAAATAATACTACCATCGCTACTACCATTTTATATAATAATACGAATAACTAAATATCCATCCACAAACTTTTCCTCTGCTCTCCTACTCTTTTTGCTGTCCTCTGTCTAATAGTTTTGTGTCTATGTGGTATGTAAAGACAAAAGAATGCAAAAAATGTGACCTCAGTAGTAAATCTGTTTATTATTATATGGCCCCATCCTCTCTTTGTGACATGCCCTATCTTGTTTTACTGCTCAGGAAAATACATTAGGATATTGTTAATATCTGCTTTTCAAAAAACTACATTTTAAATCCTAAGATTTTGTTATCAGCACTGGTTGAATAGGATGTGAGAACTGTCATTTCCATTATCTGAGGAAGCATAAATTCAACTTTGATCTTAATTATGTACAGACTTACAAGGCCGTCCACATGTATGATTGGTCTTACATCTAGACTTACTTAAATGTCATGCATGCTTCTCTCTGTTAAAACATGTTTGTGCTCCTTTACTTCCCATCTCACAATAACTATATAGTGTTTGCACAGTCACAGGAAACATTGCTTACAGCAGCTTTATCCTTACCTCCATCTCTCTCTCCCTCTGCTCCAGGGAGGCTGCCAGCTCCTCATTCTTCTCCAGTAAAGCCTGCCCCAGCTCTGCAGCTAGTATCAGATCCGTCTCTATCCCTCCTCCGTTGTCACTGCTGCCAAGAGAGGATGTGGATGAGGGGAGAGCAAAGGAAAGTGAGACTGAGGACGATGAGGAGAGAGGGAAGAAGGAGTCCTCCAGGCTGGGGGACGGGAGGCTGCTTTTTCCAGGGGTGAACATTGTTGATAGCTGCAGTCTTGTGTTGTGGGTCTAGATAGAAATCATCGTCCCAGATATTGGACTTGTTATCACACAGGTGGCAGGTGGGCCGCCATGATATTTTTCTTTCTGAAAAAACAGGAATCCTTTTTCTGTAACTTGATGATCGGGTCCAGAGAGGATTGAGGAGTTTGATTTTTCACTTTTGTAATCCAGATATGTCTGCTTCCAAGAGTCCTAATGATGTTCAAATCTTGTCTTCTTTGTTGATAAAACTATCGGAAAAGAAGTCCATTAATAGCACAGAAAAACACAACAAACAGATGTATTGACGTCAACTGTGAAAATCAGGACATGCACGACAGCTTTAGTTGTTATCTAGTAATAGAATCTCACATTGCCTTGAAGGAGGTCTTTTGTCTAACAGGTGCTTTTGTTACTCTGACCGAAATACCAGCTCCACTGTTATCTTTGTTTCACTCCCCTCCCTAAATTCCAAAGGTAATGTGCTCCATGTCCTAAGCATATGTCTCTGAAGTAAGTCTCAGGTCTCTAAAGTCCAGGTGTTGTGTTGTTGATGTTTTAGCCAAATTAACACTTGAAAATTCGTTGCTACCACAACATGATGACATAATTTTATCAATTTAAACTACATTTTGGTCACACTGTAGCTGCACTCTGAAGTTTTAGCCCCCCACGTGATTCATCTTTAAATTTGACGTCACAATCTGGCATCTCACCTAATGAACTACCTTGAAACCATGCTGTATTCCTGTTATACATAATTAAAAAAGAACACTAATCGAACTTATCCTCTAAAACATTAACCTTTTTAATCAAGATATCTCTATTACCCTGTTCAACTCTGGAGGAAAAAAAATGTAAGTCTGTCTTACCTGACAGTTCCCGGCCAACTCACACCCAACAGGTATAGTCTTCCTGTTTGGTGAGTGTATGCGTGAGTGTTTGTGTGACTGTGTTTGGGAGTGTTTGCACAAGAGAGGCTCAGCTGGTTTCCTTGGCAGTGGAAACATACAGTATGTAAATACAGCCATTGGCTCCTCCTCCTAGAGTTAGAAAGGTAAAGGAAGGGAACCAGGGAGAGGAATACTCTGAGGGACAAAGTAATATGTTTGTTGCAAAAATGTTCTGACATCTAGTGGCTGAACAACGAATGGAAAACACAGATTAACTCTGAGGAATGTGTTTCTACAAAGTTTTACACTCTGCTGTTTGAGCAAGGGTGACACAGGGTGAGGGGTGGAGAGAGGGGAAGGTCAGGACACAAGCAGGGGTCTGTCTAATCCGGCCCTCCTCCTCACCCCCATCCTGTTTACCTGCTTGTAGGGTTTGAAAGGAGCTCTGTGTGTGTGTGTGTTTGTGTTTGTGTAAGGAGGTAAGGGGGTAGGGAGAGTAGAAAAAGGGACTGCCATCCATGTAACCTTCTTCTTTCTCAGAGACAGCAAACAGAACAGAAAGCCCACAAGCTTTTATTAAGCTTAAAACAAGACCATTGGATCATTAGGTGCGTTCAAATACAGACATGGATTGCAAACTCTGGCTTGCTTTTTCAGTGTGGCTTTTGCTGCCCACCTCTGAAGCTGGAAGGCAGATGCCTAAACTCTCTGAAAAGAAACTCTGCGCTGACTCCGAATGCAGCAGTAAGTAGCACACTAACTTATTTTTGCTGCTATTGACAGTCACACAACAGTACAGTAGGTAGAATGGATATGATAATACACATGCTAAGCTTTCTTAATGTGCATTACAATATATATTATATATATTTGTATATCTATTCCTCTACAGATCCTATCCTAATAGCTCGTGCAGTGCAGGACTATTACCCTGGAGACTGCAGATTCATCCCCATCAGACAGGGCCAGCTCATCTATGTTTATGCGATGCTAAGAGACAGAGGGAACCTCTTCTGGGCTGGCAGTGTAAGTTAAAAAAATGCTTTTGCTTTGACACAGCTCTAAACCAAAACACTTGTTGTGTCTTTGTTAAAGTCATGCTGTATCCCTCTCCATGTCAATAGTTTAAATCGATTTGATCTGTTTTCAGGTACAAGACTCCTATTACGGACAGCAGGAGGCTCGCATTGGTCACTTCCCAAGCAGCGTAGTGGAGGAGACCCATCCCCTCATGCCAGCCAGCACCGAAGTCGAGACTACTGTAGGTTAACACACACTCACACAGTTTATACACACAAGTAAAGAATAAGTGATGCTTTCTTTTAATTCTGCCTCTCTTTTTATTTTCAGAACTGGGACTTCTACTGTAACTAATGTTGCATTTACCAACAAAGAGAACAACATGGTAATAAACTTTGTTTGTCCAAGACAAACATATTTTTTGATCTTACACAGATTGTTGATATGTAGTTTTGCTTATCCAAACTGTTGATAACCTGCACCTTAGAAGATATGAACAGCGCGGCACAACAAAATATGATTCTAGATTGTGATCATAATGAAAATGTCAAAGCGCTACGAAGGGCTATTGCTGCTTAACGCTCTATATTTGACTTGTGTCTGTTTTACTCTCTGTAATACTCCATCGTTCTGATTGTATCTGTTTCGCATTTTTCTGATTCAAGTAATTTGTGCTCCATTGTTTTTGATGTTTTCGCATCACAAAATAAATACCAATGTGTGACAACTGTCTAGAAAATGTCTACAAAATATACGATGCTTTCTATATAATATTTGTATTATTAAAGGGGACTATATTGCAGTAGAGTAGAGGACAAATGCATTGCACTAAAAATAAATTAATCATGATTCAAGTATGATTAATCCGCTTCTCTCCAAATGTATTGTATGCATGTGTTGTTTTGACAAGTGCCTTTCAAAAACAGACATTACAAAAAGAACACAAAGCAGAGATGTGATTTTGAGTTTCAACATTTATTCTATTTGTTGTTTTCTGTGTTAATATGCCAGAGGGTTGTAGCCGAAAGGAAGGAATTATCTGTAACTCTTGCATCTACATATGCACTCACTCTCACATACATCCACACACTTTCCTTAGCAGCTCAGAGGCAATGCTCCTCAGCAGAAAAGGAGCCCAGTGATAAAATCTGTCCCCCTCCAAACATCAGTTTCTCCATAGTCCCCTTTTTTCCCTCCTGCTCATTCACACGTCATCCTCTCAACACCTGGTCCCAAGTCCTTTGGTGTCATTTATTGAACAAACTAAAAATGACTGCATATGCTTCCAGAGAACTCCCTCCTCCCTGAAACATACAGAAACCAACACTATTCTAAAATAATAAACAAAGCACAGTTTGCATCTTACGCATACCTACTCAGACAGTACTGTCTACTGTAAATGTAATAGGTTTGACCATTTTTGTCTTTTATCATCTTCAGTGGACAATTTTGAAAAAGTATTGGAATTCCACTCCCTAAAATGTCCACTAAAGGGGAGCTGCAGGGTTACATCCCATACAAACTATTTTTGTATCACTAAGCAGCACAGATATTATATAACATTTGGAAATGCTAAAGGAAATTGCTTTACAAATATGATCATCACCCTTAATGTGTCTTGTACATACACAGAGGTGTATGTACATCTATACAACACTTTGTCAAATATAGTAAATTAGCTTTTGTTTTAAAAGAACCGTTGTCTGGCAGCTAGACATTAGAGTAACAGTGAGTTAGAATTCAAATAAGATTCAAAATAAATATAAGGCACTTGCCATCTAACCCTGTATCCCCTGCCTACTGCATAAGTGCACTACGAAACTACTGAAACAAGTTAGTTATAAAAACCGGCTGCACTTGGGGTTAATAGTAATGAGTAGCGTCACTCCGCTCTACATATTCTGTTTAGGTGCTCCATCTTCACAGGAAACAGGAATAGGGTGCTCAGGGCCGGAAGATGACCGAGGTGCAGTGATGGTGAGAATACCATCAAAGGACAGACTGGAGGTGACGTCGGCACCTGACACGCCAGCAGGAAGTCTGTACTTCCTCCGAAACTCTCTTGACACAAAGCCGTGGTCATCCTGGAAAACAAAATAACAGTAAATTGTCAACAAATAGATTTTTGTTTGACTATTTCTGTAGATCTCTATCTAAAAGTCCTTCTGACCTGTCTGCCCTCATGTTTGCCGTGTATAGTGATGGATCCGTCACTGACAATGACAGACAGCTCTTCAGGTGAGAAATGCTTCACATCCAGTAAAATGACATAGCGATCCTTTTCAATGCGCATCTATAAAGACACAACAGCAGTTAGCTTGTATTTAAGCAGTGCAAGCCTCATAAACATACACAATTATACAGGGAACTAAAGAGGATTTTCTTCAGTGTCATATTTGAATAATGTGAAATCATAGAAACAAATCTTATATTCTAAAGATGTTTGTGCATTTAATACATCTACTGGCCCGTCACATCATTTTAAACTGCAGAACATTACTTATTGACATATAAGAAGTTTTACGAGATATATTCGTGATATTGTTAAGGTTAGCATCCAAACTGTGGGTAATTCACATGAGAAAATGTAAATTCGGACACAGGATAATTTCACTTTACCTCACTGTATCCATTTTCGGGCCAGTTGAACCAGCGCATTGATGAAGGGCGCATCAAGTTGAAGGACCAGGGGAAGGGCCAGAAAGTGGCCAATCAGTGAGAGGTTCTGCCATGGAGTGATCAGAGAGTCGATGTGGGAAGGCCCTACGGTACCAGGGATACTGGATGGGGATATCCATGATGCGTTTCCAGAGAAAAGTAAAAAACGTTGGATAGGCAGACTCTTGGTTTGACTTGGTCCGAGATGGGTACTGTTGTGCTCCCTTGCACCGCATTTTATAAGCCTTTTTCTCCCATCCCACCATGGCTCTGTCACTATTCACGTCCCCCCCCCCCCCCCCCCCTCTCTATAACCTCATGCACACTTGCATAGGGACTCTGCCAACAGGCTGATCTTTCTGGAACAATGATGTCAACTGTTTATCTCTAAATCTCACTCATTGTTTCATCTGTAGCACTGTGGCAGTTTTCTGTCTCTCTCTCTCTCTCTCTCTCTCTCTCTCTCTCTCTCTCTCTCTCTCTCTCTCTCTCTCTCTCTCTCTCTATCTCTCTCTCTCTCTCTCTCTCTCTCTCTCTCTCTCGCTCTCTCTCTCTCTCTCTCTCTCTCTCTCTCTTCCTTTCTCACAGTCATGAGTGGACACTGGCTCGGAGTACTGCTGATGCCCCCATACTCATATCCCAGGAAATGCCCCTGTCTGGATGTGTGTCCCCGTGTGATCGTGTGTTTGTGTTTGTTTGAGGAATAGCTGCCAGAGCATTAGCCTGCCCTGCTCTGAGTGCCAGAAGCTTTAGGTTTGTGTGCAGAATGGATGTGAGGTTGAATGGGAATTGATGAGTTTGTATGGGACAGCATTAGGTGAGACTCTATCATTTTGCTATGAGCTCAGATGTAAAATATGAAGTCCTTTCCAACTGTCCAACAGCTGTGCCAACCAAATTCATTTCAGTCCCTGCTCCATCCTTCCTGTCAGATAAAATCTGTGGTATCCACAAGCACTTTCTATAGACAGATTTTTTTTCAAACCATTGCATAACCACTGTTTTCGTGACTTCCATGCCTTTTTCATTTGTTATGTCATATTTCCTTTTTAAGCTGTAGTTTTGAGTTTTTGGAGAATCTACCACTGAGTTTCAAACCCAAAAATCCAGCTTAAACACAGAAACCACAGTGGCTGAAGTTCAAATTTAGACTGCTTATTTATTAAGTGACAGGTTTCCACCAACAATAGCAATTTAATATGTATAAAAAGGAAAAAGATCATGCAAGTAGAAACAAAATGAGAATTACTATATAAATATGCAAGTTAAAATAAGAGTTATATATTACATGAATAAAGCATATAATAAAGCTATAAATAAATTATACAGTAAATGCAAATGAGTAAACGTAATGTTAAAGGGAATGTAATAGGCAACATTTAGGCCTCACTGCATAACGTTAATGATGAATATAGAGGTGTAAACAGTAATTAACGGTATATTAAAAGTAAAGTTACATAATAATATTACATTTCTTTTTACAGCGTCGCCTATGACTATGTAAAACTACAGTTAGTGAAAAAACTGTATGTAAACACTTATTTAATGACTTACGTAGGTACTTTCCCCTAGACAATTAACGTTAATGTTGTGAGCAGTGGTGTAATGTAAGTAGATATACTAAAGTACTGTACACAAGTACACTTTTGAGGGACTACATTTTTACCTTGTGCTTCGACTCCACTACAATTCAGGGGCGAATATTGTACTTTTACTTTTATCTAATACCTTTAGTTACTGTGGAGATTTGGATTAATGAGGTGATTTATAATCAACCCATGAACAAGACTTTAATTTCACATGGAGTGAATTCACAAACTAACTAATTAAAATATGCTCCACCTTTTACCAGCTTTGATAACACTTTAATGCATCAGAACATATTATATATATTATTCTGAAATGGAGCAATTGGCATAATGAGTACTTTTACTTTTAGTACTTTAAGTATATTTTGATGCTCACAATTTTGTACTTGAGTCACTTTTTGATTGCAGGACTTTTACTTGTAACGGATTATTCCTATAGCCTACTCTGTATCTGAGTACTATTTCCACCTCTGCTCTTGAAACAGCGATTGTTTTGTACTACATTTTTTTTGCTACAACTTTCAGAAGATGTTATATTACATTTATATTGAATCATAGATACTACAGTGTTTACTTGTAACAGAGTCTTCCTACACTCTGGTATTTCTACTTTTACTCATGAACAAGATCTGAGTTCTTCTTCCACCTGCGGTTGTCTACTGTTTAGCGTCGTTACCATGGTGATGTGGTAGTCCCTGTGGCTTGGAGCAGTTCAGTTGGTTTTGGCTAAAACTAAGTCGCTTACTTTGGTACGGCTGAAATGGACTTACCTGCTTCATATTACGGGAAAGTTAATAATAGAAACCCCGTTGTTTTAACTTTTGAACGAGACATAAACTCGTTTATAACGCTGATGAGACGATCCGCTTCCTCTACCAGCCGAAACAACGACTGTCATGCTAAAGGGTGAGATAACATAGTGTTAGCTGGCTAATTAAAGTGCTAGTTAGCCGGCTAGATTATTGCTGTTTATTATCGTAACCGTTGGCATTGCTACATCAACGGCAGCTTTACCAGAAGAAAAAAGTTTCAGCAAAGTTGTTTTTAGTCGTTTTCTGCTACTAATATGGCCAAAGCCAGTTGTTTTGGTTATGACGTTTCTTCATAACTCATAAACTACTAGCAAACACGCAGGCCAGGACGTGCTTCACGTGTGTGCAGGTGCGTGGCCAACCCAACATTAGGCTGGGCCACCAGTCAAATTAAACAACATTGTTGTGGGCCTCCGTTTTAAATATTTAAAAATAAATGAAGGCATCAGTTACACTTGTAATTCCTCTTCTGTTAAGAGCACCATTTGTTTTGGACAACATTATTCTTTTTAAATTATTTTTTAATAAAATTAATCCTGGTCTGAGTTTTAAAATGTGCTTAATTATATGTGACTGACTTAACATCCTGAACAGATGCTACAACATACATATTAAGTCATAGATATTTCAGTGTTGCCTTGTCAGATCGGTTACAAATGACATTTATCTTTACCCTTTTGTTTTTAATTTGATTCTTTTAATTTTAAAGGATGAAAATCCAAATGGACATATGGAAAAAGTACAAACATCGACTGCCTTGGAAGTTGTACCAGGAGCGCATGTTGCAGATTGCAG